GGATGGTGTATGTTTGAAAAACTTTTCTGTGGAGCTGTCTCATCTGTGCGCTGTCTGTGCTTGCCGACTGATGGATCAGATCGCTTCCCGTGAAACAATCAATGGGACCTTCCCTTTGTCCGAGAGTCTGATGGATGCGGGAAGGGTCATGACCCAGTATCTATATACTTGAAGGCCACTTTCAAAAAGGACCCTCAGCATGTAGAACTGTAGAACCCACTTGGGATCACCCCGCCAGGCCAAGAGCAAGCGGGCCCAAATCCAAAAGGAGTCCCATCTGTCCCTTAACCCGAGTCCAAGCGATTCCTCCATTCCCTCGACCTTCATCTCGTGGCTGATCTTGGACAAGCTGGACCGAATCCGCTGCACCTGCCAGCGGAAATGCAAATGGGTTCACATGGGTCAAGCAGTGCGTGGGTCAACATATGGTCAGCACTGACTGGGTAAGGATAAGGATCATGAGGAGATTGAGATTCCATCCCCACTCCAGATACGGTTGGGCATATCATTCACCCATTACAAGGAACAGTGGATGATGATGGTTAGATATGGGTAGTAAAGGCCTTTCTCACAATTGGTGATACTCTTTGAACTGACTGTGACTGGTTTACTGGGACACACCTGGACAGTGGAGGTTGCTAGGCTCAAGCAGCTTTTCCGCACTGGACTCCTGGCTCTGGGTCATGGCGCCAGGAGACCGACGTATACCTTGTGTCGGTGTAATTCGCGGCCACATGGTGGCTCCAGGTTGAACCACCAACTTCCGCAATATGGGCATCTCCCTAGGGATTAGAGACACTTATGTAGGTTTGGAGGGTCCGTCCAGTCGTACCTTCTGAGAAGGTACTTGGATCCCTAGGGTTGGACAACATGACTGAGATATCAAGATGACAGCTTTCCGGGTGCGAAGCTCCGGGTGCTTTCCTCCTCTTCCAACGCGATCTGCCAAGGGGATTCACTGCCTCGGGCGAGGTCATCCGCGTCGGCTCCCGCTCCTGGGGCCGAGTCCTCGGCGCCTGCGCGTCGGTCCCGGTGATGGGCGGTTGGGTTGTTTGGGTTCGGGGTAAGCTGTGGAAGCGAAAATCCACACCAAACGGTAACAAGAAACAGTAACAACACAAGAACCAGCGTGGCATGTGGCATGTTGTCTACATGTCTTCGAAGGACTTTTGGGAGGTGCTCTGGATTGGTGAGGTATAAGTGAAAAACATTGCTTGCTCACCATCCTGTCACTTACTAGAACAACAAGCAGGAAACAATCACGTTTCCTTCTTGGTTGTCCTAGAACATCCAATGTCAGTGCATTGGCTACCAAAGCAATCCCCTAAACTAAACTGCAACATCAGCGTCCACCAGTGACACCCCGCCGCTCCTGTTCTCGGTTTCCTCCTTGTCTCAGCTGTACCTGTTGAGATCAATCGAGGTTTGCACACACCAGAATGGAAAGACTCACGAGCAGAACAGCCTGGGTGGTGGCTGGACAGAATTCCATCTTTTCGCCCTGCAAAAGGTGGATGGAAAGAAGCAAGGTCCCAAACCTTTGACTACACTTTAAGGCGCATTGGAATTTAGACTCCCTTTTTTTCACGATTCTTTGGGCTCTCACCTTGAGCCCCAATGACAAACCTGGCCGCTCACGTCCAGAAGTGGAAGAAAACACCCACCAAATCTAGAAAGCCTCACCCTAGCCTTCAAGATCTTCCAATGACTATTATATACAAAGGTAGACCTGGTTTTGTGTTCCAAAAGCATGATAGACCTTGACCCATTGCAAAATCAGGATAGACCTTTCGATAAATCTTAAAATCCTACGTAAAACAATGTTTTGTTTGTGCTTGGAATGCCAGGGGCCCTCACTCCTCTCCTCCGTCCTGGATCCACCCGACGGAAAAACAATAAAGAAACATCGGGTGTCAGTGTTTCTCTTTGACGTTTTAATGAGTGTGTTTGGAAAGAAGGAAAAACATCATGAGTTTGAGCTGAGGTGGCCATGCATCGCTTTGGAATCTCTTCATCGGGGCACCAACAGCGCGTGCATGCGATCTTGCACGCACTGCCGTGCCTCGGCCGCGGGTTACCCGCGGGGCGACCCGTACGGCCGCGTCAAAGATCAGCCCATCTGCCCCCCCAAAAAGGATCCCAAAGAGGGAACAAAATCAATGTGACCTCAATCAACTGTTCCCAGTTAAGTTGTTCCAGTCATCTAGTCATCTGTGCGTTGATTCACCTGTCGACCTCAAAAGTGGTGGATTGAGGGTTCGAAAACATGACAAACTCATGTGTTCATCAGCAAACCCACTCCAATCAGAATGTTCACCAGCAAAATATGTTTGAAATGTGTTGAACATCTATATATTGTACGCGTATTTATATTTGGTTTGGACTCACACGCCTCTCAGGGCATGCAAAAACATGGAGCACCCCGGCACCAGATCTGGCAGCAAAAGGTTCAAAAGCTGGAAGAAACCTTTTTCGTCTCCCAGCTTGCTCTGGGGGAAACATCCAAGCAACATGGTGCCCGCCCATGAGCATCACTAGACTTCTTGGTTGGGACCTGTGATCTTCAGCCCCGATACCAAATGGTCAAAACGATTCAAAACGCCTAAAGAAGAAACAAATCAATCGATCCAAAAAGGGTACACAAAAATCACTGTTTTTTTCTGCTTGTACATAGCCTCGCCTTATAAACTGGAATCGATCCGATCGACCAGAAATCAAGTCCCTCCCCGACTTCGGACCCCACGGCAACCAACACCAGGGGTCTTCGGGGTGACACCAGTGATCACCAGTGCAACAGCCTTGCACCAGTGACCTCGGTCATATGCACCGCCTCAACGAAGCTGCCCTCTCCGCCTCGAGAACAGGCGCTGACGCGGGCCGAAGTGTTTCGTCGCCCAGTGGCTTTTTCATACTCGGCCAAGGAGAACTCTCGACGATCAGCCTCCCGACGTTGCACAGGCACTGGACAAAGTGGCCCGCATGAACAAATGGTGGTATATGCAAGTCCTGCAAATATCACAGATTAAATTTCTAAAGGATCCCTAGTGAAACTCAACGATCTTCACCGTTCTTGTTCGACCTGGAAATGGCAGAACCAGTCCCCACACCAAGCAATGGACACTAAACAGAAGCCGCATCCCCACGTTGTGTGCCTTCAGAATCTGTGTGGCTTCTCGTTCATTCACCACTGGCCACGAAAAACACCTCCCACTGGCCACGGCACCGGCCACGCCTCCTCTTGATCTTTCGAGACTTTCTTCAGGTGCTCCATTCGTGGCCGGACCTCGTTCGTCCCGGTGGGTCCGGACGGGTCGAAAAGGTGCCCGGTGACGGGTCGGGGCGACTCTCCGAGACAACTCTCCCGACGTCACCCGAGGTCCGGATCTTCAGGTCACGGCGACTCTCCGAGGTCAACTGGCACCATCAGTGCTTTCAGAGCCTTTGGAGGTTTTGTGGGGGGGCCAACCATCCCTTAGCCTCATCCTGTGCATCTTTGCTCTTCGGAAGAGGCACATGCGTTCGCATGGTGTTGAGTCGGCGCCTAAAGTATGGCGGTCACATTGTAGTAGTATACGCATGTCGCCTGTCAATGTCCAGGTCCAGGCGTTGAGATAAATTTTCATGACAGATTCTTTATATATAATATTAATTCATCTTGAGAGCGCCTACGGAGCTCCAGCCACAAACGTGATCCAATTGCCGCCGACAGTGATACATCCCAGTACCAAAACAACACATGGTGACCTCCAAACAGGTCCTGTGATGAAGCAAAGACTCCAGAATCCACAGGAAGTCTTCATGGCACTTCGTATCTTTTGAGACGTGATGAAGTTGCTCAGCTCCCGATTTGGGAGCAACGTCATGTAAAACATGACCTCAACATGAGTTGGTCTTCTCGCCAGTGCAAGTGCTCAGATTTGCCTCAAGCGCAAGTGCACCAACCCAAAAGATCTTGTGGAGCACTGGGAAGTACAATGCAGTGTCGGGAACACCAGGCCTTTCAAGACAACAGTTCCATTAAGCTCCTGCAACACAACAATTACAGAAAGGAGCGCTCTCCCATCTCAAATTATTGTTATATGCCGAGTGTGCATTGATTCGGTGGAATTTTTGTAGGTTCCTCCTTACCTTCACTCAAGGACATATACAGTAACAGGTGTCCACCAATACATGGTACATCTGCCACCACCAGAACCCCAAAAACCATGAGAGACTTGGCAGCCATGGGCCCCCCCGACTTGGTAGCCAGGATCGATCCCATGATGATGCTCAATTGGGTTCCTTCCCACCCTAATGGCCAAACTAAACCCTGGAAGATTAACATGGAACCTGAAAACCGCTTGAACATCGTCTTCCAAAGGTCCATGCCATCAGGTTCCATGTGGGTCTCTTCCCACATGTAAACATAGAGACCAAACTTTCATACTTTCATCCTGTTCTTGTTTTTTTAACGCAATCTCAGGCCAATCTGGCAACTCGCCCAGTCTAGGGTGAAACCGGCGTCATCAGGGAGTGTTTCGTCATTTCAAGTCTCTGTGGATGTAATTGTTCTGACCATTGCAGGTTTGGAATACAGTATCAAGGCTGTAAGACTCACAGTGAGGATAAGAAGTGACAGTCGTCACATGGAGCTCTACTAACACTGTTCATGTAATTGCAGATCATTACTCAAAAAATACAAAACATTAACAAAATGGAGTCAAGTCCTGATTTACAAGGCAATCGTGCAGTCCATTTGCCGCCACACACAGCGCCGGAGTGACTGCTGCATAAGATGTCTCCGACCGGGGCCCAAGTCCCCCATTCGGCTCCAAGTGGTTTTTCACTGAGACCCAAAATTCAAGTCCAGGAGTCCAAAGAAAACACCATGAAAACGGCTTTTCAGTCCCAGGGTTCGAGCAATGCGTTGGATGCGTTCGATGGACACTACTACCTATTCACCAGTGATTGTTGACTCACCTATACGCATACGTTTGCTGAAATCAGTGGGTTGAAATGAATGCAAAACCATCGACAAACGTTCGCCCTGACGTTGGGATTCAGTCTGGTGAGACGGCGAGCGTCATTCCTTCTCCAGGCCGAATCCAAGCCTTGGTGGTTGGGATCCACAGTCGCCGTCCCCATCTGTTCGTGTCATGTCTAAGTTGAAGAGGCATTGACCGGACGCGCTTTTGTCCGATTCCCAATGCGAACGGTTCGGTGGTCGCGGGTAGCCGAACATCTCCTTCCCACCGGGTTTCAACCCATCTCTAACAAGGCTTGCGGAACAAGCAACAAGAAAGCCAGGTGAATCAAACGTAGTGGTGGAAATGAATTAGCCTAAACACTTGGGAGCTGGAAACATCTGCCAGGCGCTCTATCGGAATCTACTTTTGGACATGAACAAACTTGGTACCCCTGAAACACGATGGGAGAATAAACAACCCCCCAAACAACAAGCCACGCAGCCAACAAACCGACCAGCAACCAAAAACCATAATGACGGCCGACACCACCACAATACTGTCACAAATTGTCACAACAATTAGTACTAGCAGGACTAGCAGTGCTACTACTGCTACTACTACTCCTGCTGCGACGACGACGACGACGACTACTACCACTACCACTAATTACCACCACCACACAAACGACTACGGAAAACTACTACTCCGACTGTCGGCGTCGACCACTACCCACAATTATTGCAATAGCCAGTACATGTGATCAAGTGAGTTTAGATGTGAGATGTGCTTAGAACCAGCTTCATCGGGCAAAGCCCTTCGCTAAGAGGCTTACAGGCGTGAAAGGCTCAGGCTTCAAATTGAACAACATGCATTGCGAAGAGGCATGTTAGGTTTGCTGCTGGTTGAAGTCGAGGAACTGAGAATCATTTGACGAAGTATAATGTCAACAAACGCGCACTTAATATCATCAACAACAAGAACAAGACTAACCAGAACAATAACAAGAACAACAGCAACTACAACAACAACTACTACTACTGCTGCTGCTGCTGCTACTACTGCTACTGCTCCTGCTACCGCTTCTTCTACTATTTCAACCACAAGGACCACACGATGAAGACGATTACAACGACTACTACTAAGTGCTAGTGCAATGACACAGCATCTCAATGTCTATCTCCTAGCAACCAAAATCCATTGCTCCAGTCCTCACGTTCGCAAGCTTCCCCACTTCTCAGGGTTTGACCACAAAACAATGGTGAACATGGACCAATTGGAGGACCCAAACCTCATACGTCCAAAAGGTGTTCTTTTTTTCACCCCCTCCCACTTTGACCGCTTGGACTCACCCGGGTGCCGGTCCGTCGCCAAGGCACACGGTGCGCTCTTCGCTGCAGATCGATGCATCGCCCATCCTGGGGTACGCGAGGCAGATCGATGCCGACTGATCGATGCCCTGCGTATGACAGCAACATGTTGATTTTGATGAGGTCAAAAAGAAGATGGGGAAATCCTGGGAAATCTACAAACACATCGATTGATGTTAGTGAATCAATGTCAACTTTGGGAGTTCTTGTGGATTCAGGATGGCTGGGACGGAAGGAGTCTTGACTCGGGCGGCGTGTGGCTACACGGTGAGGGTAACACGTGACGTGTGTTTTCTTTCAGATGATTTGCGATTGTACAAGAGTATCTGATCTTTGGAGAGTGCCAAACCCCACATCGAGAAGGTGAGTGTTCTTTTCACATATATATACATTATTATACATTACTGACCCAAGTAAACTATAGTGTTTGGAAATGGATCGACATCGATTCAATTCTATCTGGGGGCAACTACATCGTGGAGACATTGCTCCAAAAACACATATTGATTTACGATGTACTTCACATGTTTCGAGGTCACGTGAAGGCTCATTCCATCACAACCGGCATATCTTGCAACACTGGGGATCGGTCGGTGTCGAAAAGGCAGGATCTATTTTGGGAGTTCAAAATACCCCCTCATGGTGAGAAACACATCAGAATCTCTGCCAGTGCAATCTTCATCTATAAAAGAATTTCCAGGAGGACTTCTTCATTTATCTTCATTTAGGATTTCAACAGCCATGTCCCAAACGACCCATGGGACTTGCATATGTCCTACCTTGGGATGGTTCAGGGGTAATGTAAGCATGCAGTGCAGTCCCATGGAGTGTTTGGGTGTCTGTGTACAGGGAAGTGGCCAGTGTCACGAGTGCTCATGAGGTTCTTTGATGGTCGCCACGGCCTTCGGAGATACAGCCTCAAAGCATCAGCGACACCTGCCGGACACCCATTCACAAGTGTCAATTGTTGGCTACCGGGCTGGTTCATGCACCCCGGTCAGGGCGAAAAAAAAAAACACACCACCGGAAACGGGATGTCTAGGTCCAAACAAATGGGTCCCTCACTCGTGCCCACCGAACTCGGATGGTCTTAGCCACAGCGGCTGCACCACGCGATAGGGGCAGTAGAGATGGCGACATCCAAGGCCACACCAGAAGCGTGTGCAGCCACCGAGACATGCCACAGCCGGTGCCTGAGGTGGAAATCAAAGGAGACCCCCCAGTTCGACCCCCTGGAAAGTTCGGATTGGATCGTATTGGTCCAGGGGATCCAAACTAATTAAGTCTGTTAAGAGTGTTGAAACTATGATAATTGCACCACGTTATTGACACCTCTGCCTTGACCATTTTTCTTGTTCGGTAACTCCGGCCATTGGGCTTGCTGCTGTCCGTTGGGCTGAAAACAATCTCGCCGAGATGCCAATGGGGATCCACCAGTGACTTGGAAGCGCAAACTTTCAATGCCACTGGGCAGATCGACCTCGACTTGCAGATCGACCCCATCCCATTGGGGAGCAACCCTAGGCCAGGAAGGAGCAACTGACACCTCCCCACCAGAGCCAGTTGGAGCGTTTTTTTCTTTCAAATGCCAAGCGATCCCACGGCATCCAACGGCATCGTGGGAACATCGACACCCGACCAGCCCACACGAGCTCGAGGATTTGTGAACACTGACGTGAGTTCATCGAACATATGTGGGCATCAACGGGAAACTCACACGTCATCTCTGAGGCTGTCATGTTCATTCACGGACGTTTCATTCCCTTGCTTAGGCGTCTGAAACTGAAACTTAAAATAGCATAATTATGAGCATATATGAACGATTGCATATGTGTTATTACACGTTACTACACTCAATGTCAAGTACACTGTCTATTATGTGGAGGCAGTGTCATAAAAAGGTATCTATATCGTTTATGTGGGGGGCCCTATCTCGTTCACCAGCGAATAGTGATGTTGGACAAGCAAATAGAGCATGCCATAGACTACTTTAGTCGAAACCAAATAAAAGGTTGTCGCTCTAGTGTGGTCTTCCCATGGATGTGGGCCTGTCCCATGCAACAAGAACAATGTTTAAGTAACTTTAAGCATGTTTAATACTTTTTAGATGTTCCAATACATGTATGTTGTGCCACCTAATTAGACGGAAATGAAGCTTCCAGCTTCCAAATGTATGAAATATAATGTATCCTAACACCGTTTTCCAAGGCAAAATTCATACGGAAATAAATTTATGTGTACCAACATGTATCAAATGCCTTCAAATCATTTCGATCCTTTTCTATCATTTTGTCAAATCTGCCGCTCTCGAGCGATCCCCCCGTTCTCCGAGCCACCACTGCGATGGTTCGCCAGGTGGCCAAAAACTCCTCCCTCAGCCGGCGGGTGAGACGTTACAGTTGAACGACGATTTTGGATCAAACTGTTACAAATGTTGGAGGTCCCATACTATATGTTGGCAAGCTGCTAGAACATGGATTGCTTCTTTTTTTTTGTGCTTCCTACGTTTCTTTTGAAGATGCGCTCCAGTTGGACATGGGGAATTGTGAATTATGGATTGAACATGATTGAACTATAGATTAGCTATAGGCCCATTCTGTCTGCCGAAGTGTTCATTATATGAGACTGTTGCTGTTGTTCTACCCAGTGACCTGCTGTGGCCCAGGTCAGCATTTGAGATGTAGATTTAGATGGCGCCATACTTTGAGCGATTCCCATGCAGATTTTGAACTGCTGTGGCGTGAGAAGAGAAAGACATGACTGGCTGGCCAGCTAAAGTGAACTTGAGACTGACTGACTAACCAGTCTGGCAAATGGTACCACCCACTAAAGCCTTCGCTGACATGTACCTGACCAACGCACTTAAGCGCGTGACCAAGACATCCAAAAGCTCGTCTCGTCGTCGACACCCATTGCCTCTCGTACCTGACAGCCATGAGTTGTGGGTCCTCGAGGCAAAAGCAAACTGATGATTATGAATTGGGATGAGAAACGTCTGATAACCTGTCCACTAAGTCAAATTGTTGAATGATGAATGATCGCTGAAAAAAAGTACTGGAAAATGAACATCGCTGAAATCGTTCACGGCAAGGTGGCATAACCACAATTGTTTAAAACAAAAAAACACATGTAAACAACATAATATATCATGATTGAGATCACTCCTCTTCCCAAAACACGGCTGAATATCTTTCATCGTCATCTTCATGTGCTAAAACGCCCCATTCCATGAAGACTTTCGGTGGACCAATGACTTAACGTGATGTCTCCGAACAGCTCCCTGTTTTTTCCGGACCAGCTCCACTTCACACGCGCGCCCGCGCGCCAGGCTCGGCGGTGACGGCCTCAGGGTCACGGCTGCGCCAGGGGGTCGCTTCGGCCAGGTGCCTCATCTGCACCACCTTCAGCCAGTCGCCCAACTTCAAGCCCGCTGGCACCTGGTGAGATCGGAGGAAGACCTGGTCGGAGGTCGTTTCGTTTTGGTGGTGAAATAAACATGGAGGTGGCATATGATGGCATGGGTAAATCAGGAAAATCTGATGAGCCGCTGAGGATCTTGGAGGATGGTTTTGGGGCACGTTCAGACTGCATGGTCACTGCATGCTTCAAATGATTTCATTCACACACATCACAACTCCTTGCAAAATGACTCTTGGCTGACCTTGTGAAGAGACCAAACGATTCCCACACCTTCCGGACATCCAGAATGCCATAGGTCTGCTTGGGATGGAGCCCGCTGCTGGCACTGGCGCCGGCCGCGCACAGTACGCTCTCCAGCAAGCCTAAGGACTCTAAGGACACTCCGACGGTCCTACGGTCTTACGGGCCACTGAGCTCCATGGCCCACCAAAACACAGGCCTAGGGGCCTAGGGATGGATCATCCACTCGTACCGTACCTCAGGTACGGTGATTGGAGGGTCCAGTTCTGCAAGTGCCAGGAGGGTCCAGTTGTACCTTCTGAGGTTCGCTACTTGAATCCCTATGGGCAGAGAACGACCGCGTCGCCGGAGGTGCGATCCCCGTTCTGCGTTCTCCGGTGCGTTCTCCTCCCGTCTCATGTCTCTTCCAAAGGCGTGGTCCAGGTCCTTGATGGACCCAACATCCAAATGTATGGGATGAGAGGGATTGATTGGGTGTGCCAAAAGAAGAGGAAGCCCTGTTCGACGCCGTGGTCGAAATGCTCAAAGACCATTGCTGGGGGTCTGGCAAGAACCAAAAAAAATCTAATTGGGTGATCAAGTCCATATATCAAGTCCATCTTTCCAAGACTTCTTGAGCCCTTCAATCACGGGCAGTTCCATGGCGCACCGACCCCCCGACGCACCGACCCATGCGAAACACGCGCCCAGCGCGCCCGACGAAAAGAGAACGACGACGACTCGACTCCGCGCGGAGCTCCAAGCTGCAGTACTTGCGGAGCACTTCGAAGAGGACTTCCGGAGAAAGCTCGACGCCTGAGTTCAGCACACGTGAGGACTCCCGAACTGCGGAGTTGCTGTGGAGTTTTGGGGTTAAAGCTGTTCCGAAGTTGAATCCTGGTTAATCTGTTTGAAGAATCTGGAGGATTCCTTGACTTGCATCAGGGTTGATGGAGGTTTGAACGGATTCCACATGATTTGAACTATACTATATATGTGTGCTAGTATTTCAATCTGATCTTGAATATTGCTCTCTAGAATTCTGCACAGCTCAATGCCCAAAACTCTGCAATGCAAGTTACAGTAAGTTCTCGTACCCACAATATCTTCAGTGCTAACTTCTATGTGGACCGTGGATCGCTAAAAAGCAAAGAGTTCTTCCTAATCAATAGTAAAAAACATCTTAAGTTCATCTGAAAGTGATGAAATGATCAAACTTGAATAAATCAGGTAAAACTCATTACATTTGGTCATTCGGAACGTAGCTCTGGCAGCCAGACTGCTTGCTGGCCCGCTCAACCAATTCCGGATGCGCCTGTTCCGAAGAGCGACAAGCTCCGCTCACCCGCGTCGTCCAACTCTTCCTGTGCCGCTCGCCCGCGCCGGATGCGCGTGCAACAGAACGCCTGATGGCGTCCACTCCCACTCAGGTTCCACGGACAGTTTTCACTCACTGTTTGGTATGAGCAACATGTTTTGTTTTTCGGGTTGTTTTTTTCTGCGGGGCCGAACTGCCTGCCATGCACTTCCATGTTGTAACGGGTCATGATGTACACATTCGGCACCCACATGTGACACGTATCGACCTTGCAGGGGTTAACAAAAACACGGAATTGCATGCACTCTTCCAAGATCGTCTTACATGCTGTGCTTGTAAGAACTCCTGCACCACATGGATCCTCTAGGAGTACCAAGGATCTGTATCTGGATTTGACCGAGGATCCGCCTTCGATTGAACAGGTATGAAAGGATGCCTAGCCTTTTGTAAAGCACCGTTGAAAACAAAACAACACCACATCCACCGGAAACTGCCAAGACCCGCAAGACCTATGAACCTTAACAATGCGTGCTATGTCTTATAGTATGAACACCAACACCGCAACGGAAGTGAGGTCTCGTCACCAAATGAGTTGACCCTCCGCCAATCCGGTCAACGCGCCATCCGGTCATCGGTCCGTGCTCCTCCAGCTCCTTCCTGGCCCAGCTCCCATCCTCCGCTCGCACGAAGATCCTGACCACCAGACAGATGGACCGGTGACAAGGACCTGAAAGGACATTGTCAGTCCGGTGAACTGATGATCGGTCTGAAGACCGAACAACGGGTCTTTTCCGCCACACAAAAAAAAAAACATGCTGGGGAAGCTGATACATCGTACAAACCTCTACCAGGACGCCCCGTTCGGGGAGTCTATGAATGCCTTAGAGGTTCACGGGTGTTTTGGCATAATATATTTGTAAAATGGTGAGCGGAGGATCAACAGCAACTTGTAAAGGCAACT